AAAAAAATTGAAAATTTGGATGACTCTCCAAATTTCATTTGTGTCACATAAATTGAGACAGCAAAAATAACATATATTGGGTCCATTTTAATTTATTTCTCTTATTTTTTTTAGTTTTTTTTATATTTAAAAGTTGCGTAAAAATACTATAAATCATGATAATTGACAACATAAAATATGTTTTCAAAAAAATACAAAAAATTCCACTGATTCTTGAAGTGAATCTATCGTAAAAATACTATAAATCATGATAATTGACAACATAAAATATGTTTTCAAAAAAATACAAAAAATTCCACTGATTCTTGAAGTGAATCTATCGTAAAAATACTATAAATCATGATAATTGACAACATAAAATATGTTTTCAAAAAAATACAAAAAATTCCACTGATTCTTGAAGTGAATCTATCGTAAAAATACTATAAATCATGATAATTGACAACATAAAATATTTCAAAAATATTATATGTGAGTAGTCTTATTATGCCTTAAATGACGTCAAAGAAAGTATAGGTTTGTGATAAAAAAAACTTATTCATTTATCCACACAAACAATCACTTTAAAAATTCCGTTATTAGCCCCAAAACATACCATTTATATTATTGGGCCCGTGCATAGCACGGGCAACATTATCTAGTATTATTTATAAAATATAGTTTTAAAATTATAATGTACAATAATTTATTGGAAACACAACATAATTAGATTGGCATATTCAGGACTTTGAGATCATGGGTGCACTATTACGAAAAAGTAGATCTAAGATATAAATTTAATTGATTTGATATCTAGGTTCTTATCAATAAAAATCATTAAAATTATAAAATTATAGGTCCAAAATTAATAGAAAGAAAAATAAAACAAGATATATATAAGAATCAAATTTCTAACATCACTTAAAGAGGTGAACTCAATCATTATTTCTTCGAATGTGGGTTCACACATCTATATTTAAATATTCTTTTAAAAATACAACACTACTAAACATAATTACGGGAGGGGGCATTTGCATACTCCCTAATTAGACAGACTTCACTCTCATATATACTAACTTTCAAAATATTACATATTTTACCACTAATTATGAGTTTTTTTTACTATATATTGAGAAAGATACACTTAGATACATGTATTTTTGTTACCATAAACACTAAAATAGGAATTGGACATTGAGACAAAAAGCGAAGCGGAAGCCTTGAAAAGATAATCTTTCTTAGTTGTCCACTACCTCACTCTTTTTTTTTCCTATCATATTCCCCTTCGCTCTCTTTAGCATTTTGGTTTAACACCACGCAGGCAGCTGGTACCTTCCCAGCTTCTTCATCAGGTAACCTGCCAATTCAACACATTGTCAGCGGCATTTTGCCTGTAAAAATTCATTAATGAATCAGTATCTCCTTTACTTGAACACGGGTTTCGACTTCCCCTCCGGAGGACCGGTGTAGCTCGCTTCGCTTACCGCCTTCGTCTTTCGCCAGGGCTTATACTTCATCAATGTCCTTACTGCGTTTCACGCTTTTCAGGACCTCGATCCAAGCCCTCAGTCTCAAAAACTTCAGCATGGATGGATAGATGCCATACGGCCGTTGCACCTGGACTATAGAGCTCCTCACCCACTAAAAAGAGAAGAGGCCGGGGAATATGGATCAAGGACCGCCATGATCCTTAGAATCTCGACCTTGACCTCGAATAGGTCTTTTGCCTCTATTTCGGCCAGGTACATGATCCCGATAGGGGGAGTATAGGAGTATTTGGCTAGGAGCCTCTGCTGGATAGACTGAACGGAATCCCCCCCTATCACTTCATCCAGTTGATACGGATAGGGGACCACTCGTGGGGGCTGATTCGATGGACCAGCTTCGTTCCCCCGGGGAGCTACTTGAATAGCAGGCGGCACATGTCCTGGTTCTGGTTCTGGCTGATCCACCGACGTGCCCGTTTCCGTAGATTTTTCCCATGATTCCAAGAGGACATCAATCCCAAAATGATCCTCTTCAAACTCAGCCCCGCTTGCTTGCCCGGAAGGGCCCGGAAGAGGAAGTGATCCCCCGACACTAAAAACAAAAATCCCAGAGAGAAGCTGAGAACACAAAATCCCTA